GCCATGGTAGTGGAGCTCTAAATTAGTCCTGTAAGAATTAATGAGGAAATAGGATGGAGAAGGAATGAGGAGAAGAAATAAGCAGAAAGAAAGAGCTCTGCAGCGGTTCATGCATTAAGGCATTGCAACACATTCTCTATATTTAAAATGAAGTGGTGAGCTATAATTTGATCAGGGGGTATTTCACAAAGATCCTAAGTTGAACTTAACTATAATTTGGACTTTAAAATTATGGAGAGCCATTTGTAGCCTTAAATAAAATATATATTCAAAAGTGAAAATTCAAGTATTTTAGACTTTTTATAAATTCCACATTAAGAACATGAATCTCCTTAATAATAGAAAATATGAATGGTTTGAATCAACATTTTATGCCCTTTTAAAATAACTTTTACAAAATATTTTCATAGATGCTAACGGCTTTACATAATTGTTAAGTCCAACTTAGTAGTTTAACTTAGGATCTTTGTGAAACACCCCCAGGGATCTTGTCTCATCTCTATCTAAAGTAAAGAAAACCTGTGAGAAAAATATTTTCAGGTACACAGAGCTGCCAACCTTGTGCGACAAAAAAAGGAATCATGATGGCAAAAAAAAAGAGGAATTTCAAGCCAAAAAAAGGAATTCATAAAAACTTACAACCACGCGCGACACACTTCCAATGCAGAAATGTTCATTCATCATGCTGTTTTTTCCATACAAGCAAGTAATTTTTTTGGTGGTTATTTTGATATTATCGGCATTTCATTTTTTTTTGAGAATATTTTTCTCTTCAAGTATGTTTTAAAATTAGTTTTTTATTGAATTTGTGATCAAATCACCATTTTAGGGCAGATGTTTGACGTGCGGTATGTAAAAAAAAAAAAAAAAAAAAAAAAAAAAAAAAAAAAAATTATTAACATATTTTATGAAGAAAAAACGTAATACCGTAATTTGGATGAAAAAACGGAGTAATTCCGGCAAAAACGGAATGGTTGGCAGCTCTGGGTACACCTGTAGTTAACAACTTCAACAAAAAACTCAAAAACAAAACACATACCCCCCCCCCCCCCCCCCTCAAAAAAAAAGGAAAACAAACCATAGTTCAAAGTTTTCAATAAATGGAACATTTTCACTGTAATCTCCATGATCGTTTATCTTATGAAAATATTTGATTGTCATTAATTGTGAAGAAATTAGTAAGGACAGGTCGATTTTGCATGAAGAGTTTATGAAAAAATGAAATGTTCATTGCTAATATTCTTGCATCTGTACTTCAAACTGTACATGTACTAAATGGTCGTTATTTTTCTACAATATTTATTAGGAATAATCAAGAAAAAACATGCATCATTTTACAATGAAGAGAACATAAGCATGATTTAATTTACTTTTTACAAGCTTTGGTTTGAAGAACAACTGTTAACTTTAATCACATGTACAGTGTAGAGTCTTCTGCACAAGAAGTTATTTTCAATCCTCGTTTCTGCGGACGTTCCGTATTCTCGGACCAGCGCCCCTGCTGCCTAGTACTGGTCAGTGTGTTAAGTAATATTACGTATTGGAATTGTCATTGCGCTCTCTGCTTAAGTGAGCCCTCTCCCCGCCCCCCCCCCTACTCCGAGAACGGACGGACCCCATGCGTGTTACCAAAATGTCCGGTAAAGGGGTACTTTTCGTGCGACAAAGTCCGGACCGAGAATTGTAAAAAAAGGGGTGTATTAACTTTTCACCCGGAGATTTCTTAAAAAGGGGGTGTTTTTTCTTTTTTTTCTCTCATCTCTTTGGACTCCTGAGAAATTATTTCCATTTTAGGGGGGTACATTGAGCATTTTTCATGATTTAGGGGGTCTCCAAGGCAGGAAAAGCCCGCAGGAAAAGCCCGCGAAAAAGCCCGCGAAAAAGCCCGCGAAAGGGGGTTCGGAAATGTTGGCAGTCCTCAGATAGGGGGTGCTTTCAAAAAGAGGGAACAAGCATATGCGTACCCTAAATAACACTGAGGGGGGGGGGGGGGGAGCGAGGTTCCTCTCTCAATTAAGTTCAAAACCGCTCAAGCGAATCGGCCAATGAGAGCAGATTATCTCAGTGTACAGTGCTCAATGCATAAAACTTTGCATGCACTGAATCAAACTGTAGTGTAGATCTAGTTTAATATATTTCATTTGTAGATATAGATCTATAGTCCAACAATGAAAAACAATTGAAAGTACAGAATCTAGATCTGTCAATGTAACATAGGGTCTATTCGAAAAATTTCAGTGATGAATTCGTTATAAGATAGTATTTGCTTAAAATAGGAAACAAAGTGCTCGTTGCATCAACTCCACTCTAGTATAAGCTAGTCCCGTCCCGGCCCGACGCACAAGACAAAATCATCGGCACGCGAGGTAAAGGTCTCCCCTGCCCAGGCCGGTCATTATCTCTTCATTACACTAGCGCTGTTCTCGAGGTCCACTCTTTAACCTTGACATGACAGCGATCTAGCGAGTTCGTTTATAGGCAACTGTGAGCTCGATTCAAATAGTTTGCAGCTTTGCTCGACAAACATAAAATACGAAATGTGAATAATAAAAACACTCCTCATGTCAGCTACATGCATAATCAAATATTAAAAGTATATTACCTCGCACTTTCAGTTGACATTGCTCCAAAACGGTAACGGCAACAAGCATACGATCTGAATCTGTGCAATACGTGCATATGTGCACAATACGCTATACATGTGTATACTAGTCGAGCTGTAGGCTAAATTTCAGTTCCGTATAATATAACACAAATAACATGAGATTTTGACAACGGTTTACTATCATATGTGTTAATTTTCCTTTTCTGTAACGTCTCTTTTTGCAAATAATATTCGCATCATTATTGCTGGTTATTTCGATACGATTAATCTGATATTTAAAGAGGATAATTTTAGATTTAAATAAATAAGTGCTATTCAATACTAAATGTGTAGACTACGATAATAAGGGGCGTGTCTGCATCCAATCTGCACGGCGTGCACTTGTCCAGAGCTGATTTTGAACAGCACATTCTCATAAATTTACGAAATTTTACTACTTAACTTAATAAAGCTCAATGAATACGGCCAAGATCTTTGTTAAACAGTCATTGGACGCGTAAGAAAAAAAATCTTTTTAAAAAATCGGAAATTTACGTGTTTATAGAAATAGGCTTACACTCTCCATCCCCTAAAAACAAAAAGGCTTTTTAGATTATTTTTTAGGGTGTGTTTTGGTTCATGTTTTTTTTCTCCAAATAAACAGATCAAAAACATCCCTAACAACTTCGTGAACATAATTATGCATCATATACATGAGTTTTCCTGTACAAAAAGGAAATCACATATAGGCCTACATAATTATGACAAGGCCAAGCAACACAACATAATATGTGTTTCTCGTCAGGCCCGCCCGCCTCCTCTTTGGCCGCCTCCTTCTGTTTACTATTGTAAGAGTTGAATTTGACTCATTCTATACCGGGCCCGTTTCTCGAAACCAGCGACAAGACAGTCATAACCAAGGGTGTCGATTTGTATCCGTGGTTGGGGGGGATGATAGGTGCCAAAATATTTTCGGCAATGGATCAAAGCAACCAAAGTGGTAGAAGCGTGTGGCAAGTTGCACCCCCTCCCAAGCGCGTAGCCAGGATTTAATTTAAGGGGGGCGGTAGTTAGCACACGAAGCGCGGTTCCTAGGGGGTTGGGTGCAGGGAGGGGAGTCCCCCCCCCCCCCGCAAAGCGAGGAAGCTTTGACGTTTCACTAAATTATTAGAGAAAGAAGACGATTCGTTGGACCGTTCTCGACTCTTAATCCTTGTTTGAATTAAATTCTCCTTCCTCCGCGCGTAGCGCGGTAGCTCTGACGTTTCATTAGATTATTAAAGAAAGAAGACGATTCTATGTACCATTCTCGACTCTTATTCCTTGTTTGAATCAAGCTCCCCTTCCCCCGCGCGTAGCGCGGAAGCTCTGACGTTTCATTAGATTATTAAAGAAAGAAGACGATTCGATGTACCATTCTCGACTCTTAATCCTTGTTTGAATCAAGTTCCCCTTCCCCCCCGCGCGTAGCGCGGAAGCTCTGACGTTTCATTAGATTATTAAAGAAAGAAGACGATTCTATGTACCATTCTCGACTCTTAATCCTTGTCTGAATTCATTTTTACCCAATCCTGCGCGAAGCGCGGAAGCTTTCACATTTTATTACATTATTAGAGAAAGAAGACGATTTGTTGTATCGTGTCCTTCATGAATTCAGTTTCCCCCCTACCGCGCGAAGCGCGGAAGCTTTAATGTTTCAATAAATTATTACTCTTTATCCTTGTCTGTATTCACTTTCGCCCATTCCGCGCGTAGCGCGGAAGCTTTCACGTTTTATTAAATTATTAGTAAAAGAAGACGATTAGTTGTATCGTGTACTTTGACGTTTCATTTGATTATTACTCTTAATCCACGTCTGAATTCAGTTGCCCCCCTAACAGCTTTGCCCTGTTCGCTAAATTATTAGAGAAAGAAGACGATTCATTGTACTGTTCTCTATATTAATCCTTGTCTGAATTCAGTTTCCCAACTGAAAATAAGTTGTGACATAATAATCTTTCTCCAAAAATGAAAAATGTTTTAGGAAATATCAGGAAATAAAATGAGTGAAAAAAATAAAAATAAAGATACAATGACGTGAATTTTTAAAAAGGGTGAACGGAAACAACATAACAACTAGTGAACTATTTTATAAGTCATACTAATGTCCGAAAATCTTTCTCTTTGTCTCCGATCTCATCACGAAATCGTCACAGAGTTCATCTATGTTTACACTGTCCAGGATTGTCTGATGTGCATTGCAGATTGCTACTTTTGTGCTTCGCGCTTAACATTTAGCTCGTTGCTTTTGATGCTGCGTCTTTGCATTTGGCGCACTGCATTTCTATGATATGCTGTTGATTGAACAAATTGAATAAATTCATCAATTCCTGATGAAGCCGTATGAGCGAGAATTCAATTTATTCTTGTCTCATATACGGTTGTCTTATTAACTTCGTATATAATGTATGTATTATGAAAATGAGATAGCAAAATGTGTATATTGATGGTCATCTTGCGAGTAATAACAATTAACTACTCTCATCGGACTCTCATCATTAATTTTTCTCTTCATTTAAAAAAATAATTTTATGGTGAATTATTGGGGGGGATGATTGTACAGGCCATCCCCCCCACCTGAAATATTGGGGGGATATATCCCCCCCATCCCCCCCGGGATCGACACCCATGGTCATAACTTACTAACTTTATCCGCCAACTATAAGGAAATGTC